TCTGAATATTTGGGTTGAAGTGTTCTGGAACAGTGTTGTAAATACAACTTAACCACTGATTTCTAGTCGTGTCCTCTTTTGGAAGGCTAAACAAATTAGTTTCGCTTTCACAACGAAACACAGCGTCACACACGGCAGGCTAGAGTGAGCGGAGGGCTTGAGAACGGCGTGGCCGGAGGATTCGACGAAGGAGCGTCCGGTGGGCTTGCTGCAACCACATGTAGTGACCCTGGGCTGGACTCCACTTCGTCCACGGTGAAAGCCAATCTGGCGATACACAGCGCGAAGTTGATGTATTTCCTCAGCGACCAGCACAGATCAGCTCCAAGCATGACGAAGCGGATATCGTCCTCTTTTGGAAGACCAAACAAAGTAGTTTCGCTTTCACAAAGAAACACACAGCGTCTTCACGACATGGCGGCGGCAACAACAATACTACAGCGAGAATAAAAGTTACGCCTTCTTTCTTTGCGTGGACATTTGGGCGGCGTTATGCAAATCTTCCCACATAGAGAGGTAGATATGAGGGGGCGTGTTAGAACGAGCCGTTTTAGGTAGGCGTGGTTGACTCTTAACTTTTATAAAGAATATCTCTTTGGATTTGAGACTTTCGTCTTTGCAACTTTACAGATCTTCTTTATGCACCAAGAGCTTGTAACACTCCAAAGAGAAAGGAAAAATTGAAATCGCATCATTTAAGAAAGAAAACAAGGTCCATGTGTTTTCAGACAGGTTTCCCTCGGTATGTCATTGGTTTGCCAAAGAGTCCAGCCCCAAACACATGCTATGTACTAGTAAAAATGTTAGTAAATATGCAACAAAAAAAAGACACACATCCTTACATTTTAGCAGTTTACTTTTTGTCTTACTCCTAAAAACACTATTATTGTTCACATTTCCGTTGAAAAACAGCAAGAAGAGTGAAAATAAAGCAGGACAGCTCAAACTTCACATGCAGAAACATCTGTAGATATAATAGTTCATCCTACCTGCTTCAGAGCTCTTCTATTCCAGAGCCGGGTTACGTCTGACAACTAGGCAAACGCACATTTGTGCTCATATCTGCAGTAGCGTGCATGCGTGTGTGTGTGTGTTGCAGCAGCAGATGTCTGTTGACTCCTGATAGCGTGTGTTCCTCCAGCAGCCAGAAATGACACCTAATTCTGAGAAGCTGCTTGTACAGAGCGAAAAACGAAGTGACTGAATGCATCAGATGCGACTAGCTTTCTCCTACTTCTCTCATCCTGTACTGAGCCGGTCTCACAATGCTCCCTCGTCCGCTTTAACTTTTCTCACTCTCTCTCCTTTTCTCCTCCCATTTTTGTTCGTTGGAGTCTCACACACACACTCCCTTGTCATTTCTCTCCTCTGTCACACCAGGCAGGAAACACATCAAAGCTGTAAATTCAGAATTCTTCCATATTTTCTTGGCCGCTCGGCACATTTGGCAGCTTGGATGGACTGAAAAACTTGGAACTGTTTCCGTGCAAACTGTACAAGTCCATTAAATATCCTGTGAATATGCTTGTGGGACGCTTGGCCAAGACCCCCAATGGCTCGTCTGAATTAAACTATACGGCTTTCCACATATTTTCTAACGCAGTCTGGTGTTGAAAGAGGAATAGTTCCTTTTTATGGGGCAATGGGGTCTGCATACTGGCAAATAGTTTGTTGTAACTTTTGTGAATTCTGTCCTCCAAACTAAAATTCAGGATCATATTGTTGTAATATTAGATAATAGGGAAACTGATTGGTGGAACTCTTGGTGGTTCTCTTACGTCAGGTTGTCACATTTATATTGGGGCAAGCTGTCACAAATGCTTTACACCATGCATTCTTAAAAATAAAGGTGCTTCAAAAGGTTCTTCAAGCGATGCCATAGAAGAAGCATTTTTGGTTCCACAAAGAACCATTCAGTCAAAGGTTCTTTAAAGAACCATCTCTTTCTTACCTTTTTATAATCTGAAGAACCTTCTTTCGCCACAAAGAACCTTTTGTGAAACAGAAAGGTTCTTCAGATGTTAAAGGTTCTTTATGGAACCATTTAGACAAAAAGGTTCTTCTATGGCATCGTGAAGCACCTTTATTTTTAAGAGTGTAGTTCAAAACTTTGGGGTCATTTTTTGTGGTTATGAATGAAGTCTCTTCTGCTCACCAAGGCTGCATTCATTTGTTTAAAAATACAGTAAAAACAGTAATATTGTAAAGTTGTGAATAAACAAAATTAGTAATATGTAACTTTTTTCTATTTTAATATATTTTCAAATGTAATTTCTTTATGTGATGGAAAAGCAATTTTCAGAAATGTTTTTTTTCTCGTATTATCGATTATGGAAACAGTTGTGCTGCTTAATAGTTTTCACTGTTTTCTATTATTGTGCTTTATGTGAACTGTGATACATTTTTTCAAGATTCTTTTCTTTACTTTCACTTTTGATGCAACACTGTTGAATGCAAATTTATTGAAAGAAATCTCACAGACCCCAAACTTTTGAAAAGTACATCGGAATGTTATGCAATTCTGTTACTGTCAACTAATTACTATTGGATTACTATCAACAATTAATTTTAGCCAAAACAAGGATTTGATGTTTTCTGTACTCTATGTTACTGTATTTCCCTTAGTTAGCTTTTTCATTAATTTTTTTATTTATTGTTTACTGTTTACCTAACTATTTATTTATTTAGATGAAAGCTGACTATGCCTAATGACTATACATAATTTCATACATAAATGTTGTGGAAATGGCTTTTGTACTTTTAGATAGTATGTGTGAAATCATGCTGTTTTGCATGTCACAAAAAGTGTATGTGAGTTCAATGAACTGTGTATTTTTCCCCTGCACAATAACAGTGGAAATATTTAGCTTTTTAAGCAGTCAGGACCTTAAAGATTGATTATAGAAAGTGACTTTAAAAAATAAACCTGCCTTGAGAAATACTGTATTCACTGGAGTAAAATTTTGACAATGAACTCTACTTGCTAAAACGATGTCTCAGCTGCCCCCTACTGGTTTTACATCACTGTCACATCTGTGTCCGGTTCCAGATGTTTCAAAGAGGTCAAATATAAGGGTTAGGCTTGAGAACACAAAGAAAGAAAGAGAAAGGGAAAAAATGTTGTTTGTAGTATGCTGAGATGAACTGCAAGAGTGTTTCTGGTTTGAATATTCTTGAAGCAATGAACTCCTGCTAGAAACACTCTGGGCTCAGAGCCAATGAAGGAGCAGAAGGGGAGAAAAGGAGAGGCAGGGAGCTTTAGGGATTTGTTACGTGCTCCTAAACAGATGCCTTGATAATGTCCTTCATGAATGTCATCTTACCTTCACATTCTCAACCTCTTTACCACTGGAAAAAACATGCATATAAAAGAGCTTCATTTGGCCCCAAAATGATTTAAAATTATTATTTTTTAAATGCCTGAAATTCATTGCTGCATGGATTACTATTTCAATATTTTTACTTCCAAATTTCGTGTGTTGCTTTTCACTTCTTTCTTTGTAATTAATTGTGAGGTTTACTAGCAAATTCTGAGTACATTTGGTTATTTAGCAGAAGCTTTTATCCAAAGCGACTTAAAAATTAGGACAATGGAAGCAATCAAAATCAACAAAAGAGCAATGATATACAAGTGCTAGAACAAGTCTCAGTTCGCTTAACGCAGTACACATAGCAAAAACAGATAGAATAGAAAAAGAATAGAGCAAGCTAGTGTTAGAGGCCTTTTTTTCCTTCAGTTTTTTTTAAATAGCATGTGAATTTCTTCACATTCTTTTTTTTTTCAGTTTATCTTTTATTTTTCATTTGTGTAAAAAAAAGTCTCATAATAAAGAAACATGTTTTTGCAGTCTGATAATATGAGTCAAGAAAGAGGCAAAGAGGTCAAGATTGTGATACAGTATTCACAGTGTGTGCATTCTGCACTTTCCAATACGTTTACTCATTTAGCAAGTGCACTTCATTTATCACAAAAATAGCTTCTGTCTTGAGCTACTTGCTTTGCAATAGTTGTGGCATGAGATATGCACATTCTGTAGTAAGAACGCATCTGCCGAGCATAAAAATGTCAATTGCATGAATTGCCAAAAAAAAAAATTCAGAAACTGAATTATGAATTAACAATTGCTGAGAGTTGAAAGTCTCTTTACAGTGTGCTCCTCAAAGTCCCAGAGTCATTTCAGCAGAGTTTATCTACAATGCTCTTGGCGGAGTTGTATAAATAAGGTTGTTTGGCTCAGCAGACCACATAGAACTCAGCCGCAGATTACAAGCCAAAACAACTGCCAAAAACCTTTGCCAAATTCAGCTTTTCTGTCATCTTCTGGAAAGTTTTGCAAAGTTGCAAACTTTTGGAATTATAAATGTTCAATATTGATGTATATAAGATGGGGATTTATCGCGATTAATAACGTTATAGTGTGACAGCACTCAGTTTGTGCCAGTAGGTTTAACGCTCATCAACTACTGGATTGGCATGTAATTGATTTGAATGCAGAGATGAGAATTTAAGTCAACATCCTCTTAATTTTAAAAAAGGAATTCCAAGTGATTTTTAATACTGGTGTGTGTTTGACATGTAAAAATGAGTAAATGTTCTACGCTCTAAAAAATGCTGGGTTAAATACAACCCAGTGCTGGGTAAAATAGGGACAAACCCAGCAATTGGGCTGTTTTGACCCCGCTGGGTCAAAACAACCCAATTGCTGGGTTTGTCCCTATTTTACCCAGCACTGGCTTGTATTTAACCCAGCATTTTTTTTAGAGTGTAATACATGCAAAAAGTGCAAACAGATATACACTACTGTTCGCACATTTGCACCGGTAAGATTTGTTTTTATAGAAATGTAAAAATGTCTCTTTTATTTACCATATTATTTTATCAAAATAAAAGCTTTATTTAAAACTGTAATTTATTCCTGATGCAAAGCTGAATTTTCAGCATCATTACACCAGTCTTCAGTGTCACACGATCCTTCAGAAATCATTCTAATATGCTGATGTGCTGCTTGAGAAACATTTCTTATTATTATCAATGTTATGACGCTTCATATTTTTGTAGAAACCATATTACATGTTTTTCAGGATGAATAGGAAGTTCAAAACAGCAGAAATCTTTTGTAAGTCACTTTTGATCAATTTGCTCGATACAAGTTATAATTCCTTTAAAAACGAAAAAACACAAACTTTAAAAAATGGCATTTTTGTTATTCCTTGCAACAACTAAAAGCTTTATTTAAAACTGTAATTTATTCCTGATGCAAAGCTGAATTTTCAGCATCATTACACCAGTCTTCAGTGTCACACGATCCTTCAGAAATCATTCTAATATGCTGATGTGCTGCTTGAGAAACATTTCTTATTATTATCAATGTTATGACGCTTCATATTTTTGTAGAAACCATATTACATGTTTTTTCAGGATGAATAGGAAGTTCAAAACAGCATAAATCTTTTGTAAGTCACTTTTGATCAATTTGCTCGATACAAGTTATAATTCCTTTAAAAACGAAAAAACACAAACTTTAAAAAATGGCATTTTTGTTATTCCTTGCAACAACAAAAAAATACCATCACTTACATTATAAATTGCACGACAAGTAGAATGACTCCTCTCTAACCTCAAGCAATGGGTTAGTTCGTATCAAGGGTCTCACCTAGTTTATGGTGAAAATTATGTGATATGGATTTATGCCACTAATAATGTTGTTTGTGTCAAAACTGTATATTTTTCTTTTTAATATAAGAGCATCACAGGTAGATTGACAGCTGTCTTACCTCAAGCAATGTGATAGTATGATGTAATTCTGTGGTTATTACAGATTTATGTCACTTATAAAGATTTTAATGTTTTTAGTTTTGAACTCAATGACAGTTAGTTAGTATCTAATGGCCTTGGTTTTAGTGAATGTTTCAAACTAGTACAAATGATTTCAATTAAACCCATTAGAAAATTAAAGTTAATAAAATGGGTTGCAAAAGTGGAGAGAAGTTGAAGTGCTCATAATCTGCAGGTCAATCATTTGAACATTACACACTTTTGTTGTTATAAAGTTATGACTTGGTGACGGGTGGTGATGAAATGTAAAATGACCTTGTATAGTTGTTATGTATAACTAGTGTTGAATGAGAATTATCTTAAATATTCTAAATATTATTAATGTCTACTGCAGCCTTATTCATAATATGCACTTTTTAATCTAATTTTGTTCTATTATGTATTTATTCATAATTTTTTATTTAATGATCACAAGACTGTAATGACTAAGATGTCTAGATATTAGTTTGAACTGCCTTTAAAATTGGTTGTGCATTCTGAATGGAACCACACTCTAAATGCTTTTATTTTCACAATTATTTTTTTAAAAGTTGGTTTATGCTTTGCATAGTTTCTATATTCATGACTCCTTGTATCTCTGTATTCCAGACGCAGACAAAGAGATCAAGAAAAAATGAAAATACAAAAGAAGGACAAGCAGGTCGGTGTATCACATGTGTTTCTGTCAGACACTGTGTGAGAGTTCCCTCTATCTCGCTCTTTCTGTTTCTCTCACACTTTCATCGTCATTGCAAAATTAGCATAAGTTTTAGTCCTTGCACTATATTTGTTCTTCAGAAAGATTCTCAACCTTATTTAACCTACTTTTTGTCTTTAATATTTAAAGCGCTGTTTGCAATATTTTTTTCAAAGCTTCTTAGGTAGTTAAACTTACCCTGATGCTAACTTTCCCTGAGACTGTAGGTTTACGATTAGGATTTGAGACGCATGTAAAATGTGCAGAAAGCTTCTGAAATTTGTTTGATCACATTGTTTATATATCCTCCAAGAAGATTATTTGGTTTTCAGCTGTTTTTTCACAGTCAAGGAGATTTAATTGGGTTCTCATTTGTGTTGGAATATCAACTTTGTGTCTCCTACAGTTCCTAGTAAAAATAGAAACTACACATAGTAGCTGGATTTCCAGCACCCTGCTTTTATGCAGTATCATAAGTATTGCATCAGAATCGAGTGATGGAAACGCTGAATTTCGAATAAAAATGCCTTAATTCGGGACGGCAAATTCTGACTAACCAGCGGACCAATCTCATTCATAGCATCTGAAATGTTGTTATGGTCATTCAGAATTGCCCGAGCAAAGTCTGTCATCAAAGTATTTCTGTATAATTGCCTCCCAGAACTGTTAAAGGGGTCATATGATGTTACTAAAAAGAACATTATTTTGTGTATTTGGTGTAATGAAATGTTTATGCGGTTTAAGGTTAAAAAAACACATTATTTTCCACATACTGTACATTATTGTTTCTCCTCTATGCCCCGCCTTTCTGAAACGAGTCGATTTTTACAAAGCTCATCGGTCTGAAAAGCAAGGTGTGCAGTGATTGGCCAGCTATCCAGTGCGTTATGATTGGCCGAATACCTCAAGCGTGTGACGGAAATGTTACAGCTCTTACCATACTGTGATGCCCTGTCCGGCCGGAGCCATGATTCAAAAACATGAAAACCCATTATAAACGAGGCATTCGTTGCATCCAGTGGGGACATAATTATGGATTATAATGACTTACACTGTCTTTTTACGCGTTGCGTTGCATCGCGCCACGTAAACATAAAACCATGTCTGCATTTGTGATCGGAGAAATGACAAACAA